TGTCCATTGCCTGTCCCCAAAGGATCTAAACAGGCATCTATTCACTCATTCACTTTACCACTTTATCATCAAAGGATTGCAGTGTATCATAGTGTCTCTGTTTTATCTTTGTTTTCCTGAATATGTAATAATTCTAAATTCTCTGAGAACAATGTTACATAAAAATAACTAAAAGACAAATCCAGATAAGGCTATGGGTTAAACTGCAGCCGTCAGACTGTTACACAAAAAGTCATTGGTTCAGATCAGTGCTTTGTTTGAATATTGTAGAGGTACAGCTGGAACTCAGAAAATTACTACTATTACCATTTACCTGTACTTTACTTCAGCATACAACATGAAACTAACTTATGACATGCATTGAGATATATCAAGCCTATTTTGGTTATAATATTGATAATTGTCTCACAGCTTGTAAAACAAAAAAACATAATGTGACTGTTTTGAGATAGGGCCATAAGCCATAATCATCAAAATGTTAACTTTAACAAAACATGCATTACTGTTTGTTTTTGTCATCCACTGTCCCTTTTTTCTTTTGTTTGTGATTTTTCTGTTGTCTATTATTATGTAGATTTTGTATGTTGACTGTATGTTATTAGAAATTCAAAAAATACATATCTTTAACAAAGGCTTGGCATGTGTCACTTACATCGATGACTTTTTAACAATATTCTAATTTTAGTAAGTAAGTAATGTTTATTTATATAGCGCAATTTACAGACCAAGGTCGCCCAAAGCGCTTTACAATGTTCAGAGTTCAGATATTGTTCCAATCATTCCACACACGGTGATGACGGAAGCGAGTCGCCGAACACGCTGGCGCATCAGCCCCCAATCAACACCATCCATTCACTCTCTCATCTACATTCATACCTATTGTGCATGTTTTTAGTGGTAGGGGAAACCAGAGCACCCGGAGGAAACCTACGCAGACACGGGGAGAACATGCAAACTCCCCTCAGAAAGGCCCTGTTCCGACCGGGATTCGAATCCAGGACCTTCTTGCTGAGAAGCGAGAGTGCCATCCACTCAGCCACCGTGCCACTGTTTTCTGTAATCAAGTATAAAGCAACAGTAACTAAAACAATGGAGTTGGATTAGTTGAAAGGTAAAAACAGTTTAAGAGCTGCTTCCACTTGACCCAGGTTTGACCCAGTTTTGACCCAGCCGTGCATCCATTCTCCATACCAGGGCCACATAAACAAATGTGTCTGAGAAAGATCAAAGGCAGCAGCGGAGTGAGGAAGTGGACAGGAAGCTCAGACTGACCGCAACAATGTCCAAACTCTCCGATTCTGCGGCGACCACTGAAGCGACGGCCTTGGAATGCAACTGGAGGAAATATGGTCACTCTTAAACACACAGGGTTATGTGCTTTGTTTCTGTCAATGCAAGGTAGTGTTTGTGAATAGAAGATCTGAGGAGAGTGACTGAACGTAACCATGATTCATGTGCGTGTCCTTGAATGTATGTGTTTCTTTCTGGGAACTCAGCAGCGAAGCAAAGACTGTTGTCAAAAGGTTTTCAATTGATTTAAAGAAGGGATGAGTGCATTATGTGGTTTGGATGTGTTTTTATTGTACTTTGAGCGAGGTGACATGCCACTTCACTAGCTTTAGGTATTTTCAATGAATCTTTATTTGGAGGGCACATTTGAAACAGCCTAGGCTTATCAAAGTGCTGTGCAGACAAGTGCAAAAAACAGCAACAATAAAAACACATAAGAACACAGAAATATATATATACACTTATAAACCAAAAACTTGTCTCTTAGCTTAGCTGGCATTGAAAACCAAAGAAAATCCTTGCTTAAGACACACCATTTCTAAGTGCTCGAGTTGTTGTGCAGTTCTAATGTGTATTGGAACAGAATCCACTCAGGTCTGCCGGATCTGTATTTCTGAAAATTCTTGGAAAAAAAAAAGACTGGTTTGGTCCTATGTATCCTTATGTTCATCTTTTTCTTTTAGATCATTTGATTGTGTGCAGTTATTTTCTTTATGTAGCCCACATGTTGGAAACCTTTTTACTGTACTTTAATCTTTATTGAAGGGACAGTGTACAGAGACATTATGTTCTGTACCAGATTATAGCTAGTTTCCATCTGCAGTCTCTGGTTACAGAGAAATAACTTAAAATAAAGAATATGAAAGTGCATTAATCCGTTCTCTATCAACACGTTACGTGAGAGAAAAATCTCATGCTATAAAATGTATTTCTGTGGGAACCATACACTCTTTAATCCCGTAAATATATGGGATTGTTCAAGAAATACATTAAATTCAATACAATTCAATTCATTCAAATAATAGAGAACACATTGGTCAACTTCCCCTAAATGGACCAATACCTATGTCAGTAAGTTTTGATAAATGTCCATACATGTTGTAGAATGTAGAGTGTCCTGGATTATCACCACAGTCCTTCTTGTTAGACACTAACTGTCCAACAGACCCTCCTGCATTGGCAAGGAAAAACTCAAAAACCCAGGGGGAAAAAAGTGAAAAACATCGGGGAGAGCCACATTGAGAGAGGGATCCGCTTCACACGGACGGACGGGCTATAGATCCAGGACCTAAGCTACAGAACGAGGACCAAGGCCACACAGCGCAGGACTCAGGTTGTAGAACGAGGAAATGTAGGGTGCAGGACTGAAACAGCTCCCAGGCGGGGAGGGGGTGCAGCCCACGAGTCGGGGCGGACAGGGGAGTCCGCAGGTGTAAATGGGGGGGTCCTGTCGTCACGCCATGAAGCAGACAATGGGAAAACGGGTGAATAGCAATGAACAGACCACAGTCTAACCCTACTATGCAGACAGATAAAGTCGGAAGATAAGATAAGAGTGCCTTTAGGAAGGAAGACAGGATAGTTCCAAGTTACCACACTTCTCCCAGCAAACTGACTCCCTACGCAGCTTGACTGACAGTCAAAGATTTTTAGTCTTCCCTGAGTCTTCCTAACCAAAAAATTAAAGAGGACTATTTTAAGCCTGACCTTGAATGTAGAGACCGTGTCTGCTTCCTTAACGTGAATGGGAAGCTGATTCCACGGGAAAGGAGCTCGGTAGCTAAATACTATTTGAAACTTTAAGAACCACCAGACGACTGCCGTTCTCCCTATAGTCGGGCCCACTGGAAAATAAAGCTGGGGTACCTAACTTTCACACAAAAAAAACAATTTCATAAAATCTATCTAATGAGTTCCTCATTCTCAAAACATGTGGTTCTATCACTTGTCTTCACTTGCATGTATGTTTTTTTTTGTCAGGCTTTTTTTTTTTCAGACAGAAACGTTAAAAAGAGTGGACCACCCTTATTCAACCAATCAGCTCTCTTCTGACCTGATTTGTTCACATCATATTTACCTTTACAATACTCTGTGTTGGTAATGTATTACTTATGAAAAATAAAAGTTAGGTACCTCAGCTTTAAATTACCTGTATGAGATCAGGGAGGGGTTCCTAAAATTTTAAGGCCGGGAACCCCTGAAATAGACATGAAACCGACTCGTGACCCCCCACTGATACGTTCATATAGAAATAATGAGAACCATCAAAACATGCCACATTCATTTAGGGTTAGGGTAATTTATTTACATTTATATATTACTTGGACTAGAATATACAGCATTTTATACCTGCTCCTTATTATGCTAAAGTCAGGGGTTTTTGTACTTAAGTCTTCTTCATCGTGCTAAAGTCGGAGATTTTAGACTTTCCTTATTATGCTAAAGACAGAGATTTTTGTTGGTTTTTTATGCTCGTTAAAGATTTTATTTTATTTTAGTATAGAGTTATCATTTATTTACCTTGTTCTGTGTGCTCCTCATTCCTACTGTCTGTAACTTGTAATGCAACACTGAAATTTCCCCACTGTGGGATGAATAAAGGATCTCTCAATCTTAATTCTAATCCTAATCTTGAGTAATTTTTAATCCTATTAGATTTAAACTAAAATATATCTATGGTATCCAAAGAGTGTGGGAAAAAAATGGTAGAAATCTTAAGAAAAATAAATACTGGAAATATTCCCGTGACCCCCAGTTATTGGACAATGGTTCCCCAGTTTGGGAACCATTGTTATGTTTTTGGATTTGCGAGATTTTTATAAATGTCTGCATCAAAGGAAATCCACTTGTACATCAACAATTGACAGTTATCGATCAGAAGACCTTTTGCCATAAGGCCGTTATGTCTTAGGGGATAGATTTTTTTTCCCCGCGCAAAAAAAGGTAGGAAACATAATCAAACTGTGTGTGACTGCTCTAATTAACAAGGCTACATACTAAAAGCTTTTTAAATAAAGGCAAGCCACACAGTGTAGGAGAGCATTAAAACCACAATGGTGACAGTGTATCGCAGACCTTGGCTTTGATATGAAATCTTGTAGCCTTGCCTCTACCGCCCTCCATGTTAGAAGCTCTTTGTGACAAGGAAATTACTTTTATGAACCTCTGAAAGACGCTCCAACACTTCAACCTTCTTGTTAGCTTCATTGCTAGACCGTGAGAGAAGAGTTTTTTTCTTTATTTTGTTTCATTTTTTTCAAACCGTCGCCGTTCTTTTCATCAGCGCCTGTCCCTGATTTTATTACACACAGCAGTCCTTCATCCGTTGAACTTTCCTCTCAGTCTTTACCGACGCATAAATGACCCTATATTATTTGAATTGTCAAAGAGAGTTAAATTATCTGAACATAAAAATATAGATTAATTTGTTAAAGGTTTGCGATGGAATATTCACCGGCCGTCAGCGAGGGCTTTAAACTATTCTTAACCTCTGTCAAAACAAGAGATCTGTTTTTCCTTTGTTTCCCAAGGTCTGTGTAAATCAGTTTGTTGGAATACGTTGGCATTGGCTGAATCATATTTATGAGTGTGTTTTTGTTTCGCTTGGCCGTGTTTGCTCGGGTTCCTGTGGCGTGTATATACCTGGATGGCTGAAAAACAGAGCTACATGGGCAGAAATACCAAACATGTGTGGAAGCGGCCTTGAGACTTCACAGGACTCCGACTGCGGTGCTCAGCTCAGTAAACAGCGTGTCCTCCTGTGGCTCTGTGTTTGGAGAAGGAAAAACGAGGAAGCCGATCAAACACCCGCTCAGAAGGCCACGCGGCTGCACGGAGCTGGAATAGAGTCGTGTATGGATGGGCCTTTTTGGAAGTGAACCGGGAAACGCTGGCAACAACACCCTACACTGCAAAAAGTGATGAGAAATAAGTCAGAAATTGCTCAAATTTGGAAAAAAAAAGTATCTTCATTTGAGCATATTTTGACTGCCTAAACGCTTTAATGGTTTCCTCAGTCATTTGGTGGATCACCTTTTGAGTCACTATATCTACTTGAAGCTTGGAACTGAAATCTACCTCTTTAGGGTTTGGTTTTAGGCACTTTTACCATCAAAGTGCATCTCATTTGATAAAGGCCTATATGTTCAATCAAATTAGGGGTTAAAAAAACATAAAAACTTGCCTTCTTCAAGGAGTGAATATTAAAGATTTACCAATGGGATAAGCTTTAAAAAAAAAAAAAACGAGAGGCTCTGTCCCAATGGCAGATCTTATTTTAAGACAATCAGAATGTACTCAAATTAGGATAAAAAACACTCGATTCAAGCATCCTCATATGTTATCATTTTTTCATTATCCCTTTATTTTGATGATTTATAACAGAGCCATCAAGATTTTCAGATAATAAACCTGTCCCTGTGATTGCGTATACTGAATAATATGAAAATGAAACTCACTCAAATTCTCACATCTGAAACTCACACACATAATGCTTGCATCAGCAGGCCCCTCAAGTTCCTGCAGTTTCCTCTCAGTGACCAGAGGAGCCTGAGACGTGAAAAGACATTTGGTCTGTCAGCTCTCACACAAAGAAAGATTAAAACTGTTTATCTAGAGGAAACTGGAGGTAGAAACAAATAACTATTTTGTTCCCTTTATGATAAAAATGCATTGGTTTTATATAGCGCTTTTTTGGACACTCAAAGAACCAGACTCATTCATGGGCAATATGGGTGAAGTGTCTTGCTTAAGGACACAATGACAGGCATTTTACAGCCGCAGCCGCTCCTGGTGTTCCCAGAGGTCTCCCATCACCGTTCTATCCAGGCCCTGCTCAGCTTGAGAGGTCTGACAGGATATGGCTTTCACATGCAAGTATTTCCAGTTTATTTGAGGTCTGGAACATCCATACACATTACACAAACATCTATATACACACACATAACAATAATAATAATAATAGTACTGTTGATTGTAATTTCAAGAAACCTCAAAGTATTATACAGGTAAAGACAATAACAACATTTCAGTAGAAGAGGGGACCAGACTCCTACAACATTGATAGAGTTTGAAGTTGACACAAACGTGCACATGGCTTGGTTTATCAAACAGGAAGTGTACGCGCTGCTTATGGAGGCTGTGAATGCGGCCAGAGGAGACGGGACGTTCGTACTTGTCTTGTTCTCGAGTCTATCTCCAGAAGAAATCCTGCAGATAGTTGTATCTGGTGTCTGAACATCCAGCACAGGAGCGGCTATCTCTGCTGACTCTGCCGGCTGCTTCCAGATTTACTCTTCAATGACATTATCTATAGATTATGAACAGCAGGCTGCAGATCATAGGAGGAATTAGCTGAATGAAAGTGGCAAATGTGTGTGTGAGTGTGTGTGTGTGTGTGTGTGTGTGTGTGTGTGTGTCAGAGGTTCAAAAGTTAAGTGAGAAGGCCTCCCCCTGGTGAGTGTGTGATAAACTGCAGAGGCAGAGACGCACCTGGACAATATCACACAATAGTCAGGCATTTTTCTTGAACTTCAAAGCCTCAAATACTTCCTAAATACTATTGTTGTCCCACATCTTAGCTTTTTCATGTCAAGTTGGTCCCAGCCGCGTAAAACGTTAAGAAATCTCTGGAATGTCTTCACAAAAAAACTCAATAAAAAAGTCATGTCAAAAATCGTCATCACTGTCATCTCCTGCGCACCAAATACAAAATGTTAAGTTTAAAACATTTTTGACAAATTTAAACAAATCTTATGTTTTTAAAATATGTCTGAAAGGCTTGCAATGTGATATTTATTCTTGTTTTGGTTTTGATACAACAATAAACATGATATAAAATAAACAGCAACACAGTTTTTTAAAGGGGTTGGACAAAGCAGATGTTTTTATTTTATTTTAGCCCTCTCACTCATACAACACACACACATTGTTTCTGTATAATTCAGTTTGTCACTTCCTTGCTTCATGCTTCCTAATAAAGATAAAAACACACTCACACACACACACACACTGACTCAGACAAGACACAAACCCAAACACTCTCTGACCCTACACCTATTTCCCATCACTTGCTCTCTCTTATTCCCTGTACTTCCCTGTAACAACTGATTACTGTATGTAATCCACCTATGGGGTTAAACTAGAAAAGTATATTGTGTGCAGATTGGATGTATTTTGGTGTCTGCTTTCATTGGAGATGCTATTCTTGGGTTTCATTAAACTGGCCAGTAGGGGGCGAATGAGCAGAGATGGGACAACTCAGTTTTGCTCCCATTGAAAACCATGTAAATCGTGTCAAATTGGAGTCAAAAGGCTCTCATCTTGTGCGGTGTGCGGTTGTTGTAACAGTCTTAATCGGAAAGGGGACACTCAATTCTAAGGGAACACTAAAAAATATTTCTCAAAAGAGTCTTGATTTTGGGCATTTTTGGAAAAAATAACAGAAGATATTGCTGCGTTTCATTCGGGTGGCCTGCAGGGGGCGCTTATCTGGTAAAGCCTTGATCCCACTTCTTCTGTCTCATTCGAGTGATTTTTTCAAAGTGTACTCCTTTATATTAGACCACAGTTGGAACACGGAGTTGTCTTTCTCTCTATTTGCGCGGTTGCTACAACTGTACACCGCACAAAAACATGCATTTTGACAGCGCTTCTTCTTCTACTATATCTCCTTGTACATACCCGGCAGACTGCACCGCGAGGGTACGTCCGGTCCGGTCCTGTCCCACGTATGTCATTCGCGCCACTGCCCCGACGTCATATGAAACCCAAGAATATTATTGTTTCTGAATTTTCATGTGAAAAAAGAATATAGAACCAAAACCAACTAAGTTTCATCTAACAAACTGGCAACCCAAATGAGAGACTCATCCCGCTCTCTGATTGGATAATCTTCTTGAAAACCAAAATATTGTGGACAACATGTTCATCATATTTTACTTAAGTATAACTCTAGGCAAGGAAAGTTTGTTTATATAGCATAGTTCCCACAGAAGGCAACTCAAAGTGCTCAACAAAGCAAGAAACAAGGCATTAAAATCTTAAATAATCACAGTACTGTGCTGTGATAAGATAAAATCCCTCAGCTGTCTACACAACTAAACAGAACTGTTTTTAACCTGGATTTGAATATTGTCAGAGAATGTCTCATGTTTTCAGGAAGACTGTTCTTCTAACCAACTCATATGAAATATTTAGGAATAATTTGAAACCGAACTTATCACACTGCAAAACGTGATGAAAAATAAGTCAAACTCGTGCCGCCTTGTGTATCAACTCAGGCGGCACGAGTATATCTACATGCTATGATTTTATCTCATATGTCGTATTGTTCAATCGTTTGGGGCCAGGCCTCACAATCTGTCCTAAAGCCTTTAACATCACTCTACAAGCAAACACTTAAAGTGTTTGATCAAAAACCAATGAAGTGGCATCACTGCACTATCATTCAAAAATATAAAATGATGACATTCGATAGCTTCGTCAGTTTCTCTTTTATAAAAAATATATTCAAGTGTCTTAATGGTCTTGCTCCGTCTGTAATGTGTCAGTTAGTACAAAAATACACTAATCAAGGAGTGAGCACCAGAGCTGGAGTCAGCGGGAACTGCAGAGTGAAGTTTTGTAAAACTGCTCTGGGTCAGTCTGCGTTCTCAGTAAAAGGGACACAGTTATGGAACTCTTTGCCACTGGAGCTAAAGTCCCAAATGGACCTGAGACTTTTCTCACAAAAGCTGAAGCTGTGGCTAAAGAACAAACAAAAGTGTGAGCACTGAACAGTTTGGCTGGACTTGGGACGGGAAGTGGTCAGATATGTCTTCTCCTTTTTCTTTTTATTGTTGTATTGTTTGATGCCTTTTACTGATTTTTCATCTTTCTGTTCTGTTTTAAACCCCTTTGAAAAGCCTAACCAGGGACGGGGGCTGCAAATTAGCCTATGGCTAGACGCCTTATGTACATAACATCGGCCACTGAGCTGGCAATGTTTTCTTGTACTGTCCCTGTCAAATAAACAAATAAATAAAATAAAAAAAAACATTGCTCAAATTTGGCAAAATGGCTCTTAATTTGAGCATAAATTTGACTCAGCAATCATTACCAAATATTTTATCTTTTTTGCAGTATACATACGGCCCCTTTAAGATTTTGGAACAGAATCATATTGTAAGCTTGAGTTTACAACTTCATCATCACCCTGCTTCTCCATTGAGGAAATCTGCAGAAAAGGGGTGCTGATCTCCCCTGACATCTCCCCGGCGACTCGAAGCAGACAGCTCAGAACCAGGTCTTTGGCCACGCCCGCCTCCAGGTTCCCCTCTTTACTGAGCTGGAGTGTGAGATGATCCAGACTTGTTAACACCAGCTCTGACCCCAGCAGAGGACACGGCGAGCCTGCCTCTTTAGCCATGTTCTCCATCATATACTGCTGGTACAGATCCTGAAGTTTCTGCTCCAGGTAGTGGTTCAGGAGAGAGTTGGTAAACGGCCCTTCTCGCCCTTGCAAAAAGAAACTGCGATCCCGTCCGCTGCCCTGTTTCCACGGATTCGATCCTCGTTTGACTGGGAATACAGGTCCAGCTTGCAGAGACTGGTCCAGAGGTGGTTGGACGTCACATGAATGCAAAAACGGCCCAGCGGTTTTGAGTTTATTAGACCCGAATTCTCCCACGTTGGCAGACAGAGGGAGAACCTGATCCCCCGCAATGTGGAGGTCGCTGTAGTTTTGGCAAATGCTCTGACAGAAGGAGGGGACGAGGAAGGGGCTGTCGCTGGAGGAGAGGTTCTGAGACAAGATTGCCATTTCAGCAGAGCGTTGTGGGACCGACCAGACTCGCTCCAAATCCAAAGACTGCAGCGAAGGCGTGCGCTGGAGTCCTGAATCTCTGGGGGTTTTCAAAGGACCAGGGCTGGAGCTGGGTTCAATGAAGAAAGTCTTGTTAGAAACACATTTAGAACATTCTTACTACACAAATGTATTGGATTGTTTTCAGGTTTGGGTCTACTTTTTGTTTAATTAAAATACATTTTGGTTATCTCTACACGGAAAGCAGCATTTTAGCATTTTGTGAACAAACCAGAGAGTATCGTATTTGTCTACATCTTAATAGAAAACATTTTATATTGAATGTCGCCAAATAGATATGATACTTTATGAGCCCGTGTATTTCCTTTATCTGAAAAAGCTGATCGAAATCAAGTGGTTCTTAATAATGGGCCACGGGATAATCTTGAGTGAGTGAGTATCAGCATAAAGTTCTCTAGAAAGATTAAAAATTGTCTTGAAAAAAAAAGTTTGTAAAATTGAAACTTCTTGTACTATATTTCAAATCCACTGAAACTTTCAGTAAATTGATAAAATGTAAAACTTCTCTGATTTGTTTTTGAGGAATTGTCAACTTTGTAAAGTCTTCCGTCACGGAAGACTTTACAAAGTTACGACTGCTGTTGTAATTAAAGGTCCAAACAAAACAAAATATTAATTGAATTGAACTAAAACATTTAGTCCAGACAAATGTAACTATTTCAAGATTGTTCTCATCTATTTCCTTGATACCAGAGTCTGTGGGCACCATTTCGCTTATCATTTTAGCTTTTAAGTATTCTTCAATGCTAATAAAACATATATTTGTGAGGATGTAAAGTATTAAGAATGAGTCAGGTGTGCGCGTGAATGATCGGTGGTGGTCGGCTGAGGGCACAGACTGTTTCACTCACTTCTGTCTGTCTGCCCCAGAGCAGCTGTGGCTATAGTAGTAACTTATCACTATGATGTATGGAGCACACACACACACACACACACGCACACACACACACACACATTAGCACGTACCTGTGTCTGGAGCAGTGTGGTGATGGGTGATCAGCACTGGCCTCCTCTCCCTCCTCTTCTTCAGCATAGGCCACAGCCCACAGTCTGCCTTCACACAGCATGGCTTAGCCTCAGTGATGTGTGAGTGAAGTCTGAAAATATTTATATTCAAAAGATAGAGCGGTGTTTTTCCTTCACAGCTGTGGGCAGACTTCTGTTTCCAGTGTTGTTCCAAATTAGAAATGCGTTTTTTAAAATAATGAACGAGAAGTGAGAAATTATTTGTTTGTATCTCTTCCCCTTTTGTAGGAGTGTGATTTGCACAGACACACACTGACTCACACACAGAGTCACACACACACACTCACAGACACACACACACACACACACACACACACACACACACACACACACAAACACACATGCATGACCCTATTTACTCTATTATCATGGGTGCAAGAGCAAGGTCCTGGGTTCGATTCCACCTCTAGGCCTTTCTGTGTTGAGTTTGCACGTTCTCCCCATGTGTGTGTAGGTTTCCTCCGGGTGCTCCGGCTTCCCCTACCACTAAAAACATGTATAACAGGTGTGAAGTGAATGGAAAACTATCTGAACATTGTAAAATGCTTTTAGGTGACCTTGGTCTGTAAAATTCACCACATAAATAAACATTACTTACTTACTATATATACTACCATTAATATTATCACTATCATAGAACATCTTAAGATATTTACAAGCTGAGGGCAGTCGGTCCACAATGTAGCAAACTAAACCACTTAGTTGCGTTTATCTGTGAAATAAATGGCTGGTTTGAGTTTACCCAGAAGTAGGATAGAAAGTATTTTAGATATAATGACAAGTTTGGGGGAGAGGAAGCGATTCTTCTTTGAGGTTTGGCTTCAAACTGATATCAAAGTGACAAATCCAGATGGTGCCACACTGTCGATTTGCAGGTACAGGACAGCAGCAGTCACAAGCAACTTCCTTCTCTATTCTCTTTTGATTTGCTTTTTGAACTGAGGTGAAAGTATTGAAACTTCTGCATTCATTATTTATGACAGGGTTCTTTTTGAGATGAAACCCCCTTGTGAGTGCATGCCTGACTTCAGTGGAGTCCTTTATTCACACTTCTTCCTCTTAGGGATGACTAACAATGAAAGCGCATGAAACATGAGACAAGCTGTTTTATTATTAACTAGACTGGAGACCACTGGGAAACACATGGCACACTTGGTCCCTCATTTCCCCTTTTTAACAGATGGAGCACAAAGCAATGGGCGAAATACAGAATCATACGTAGAGTATCAATGTATTTACAATCTAAGTAATGTTATGTTCTTATTGTATTTGGTGTGTGGTTTTCTTCATAATCACTTTGTAAACGTGTCGGTAGCATGCAATAAAAATCTCCCTTCACTTCTCAAGAAAACACAGATGTTATATATGTTTCTTGTTTGTGGATAAAGCAGAAGAAAAGACATGGATCTATGCCCTAGTGAGTAGTGTTGGGAGTAATGCGTTACAAAAGTATTATAATAACTGTGATATATTGCTTTGTGCTGTAAGACGGTGATGTGAGGCATTCCAACAAAAAGGTACAAAAGTCATTATTGTGTGTTACTGTACATGTTGTTGTTACTTTTGAATGCGCTGGAAACGGCAGAAAGTCCTTAGTACCTCTGAAGCTGTTGTTTTTTTTCTACCTTAATGTTGCTGCAGTACAGTGCTCATGGTTTTACACTGGTCCAGACCGAAGCACGGAGGATTCATGGTCCGAAACAATAGATCAGACAAAAGTCCACGGGAGGAATGCTAACTTTTTGAAAAATGCTAACAAAGCATTCAGCATCTCAGAATTAGAATCATTTTTCTTGTAATTTAAGTAACAGGAAGTCACAGACTAGAAAATTGCTTTGACTCTCGGTAGAGTATAAGTAGAGCATAGAGAAAGGATGAGTAAGAATCAACATACATGTCTAATACAAAAAAAAGTAAAAAATATTGCAATTATTATATATATACACTTTGGACCAGAGCAGAGAAAATGGTCCAAACCAAGCGGCTACTCCACCTCTGCTGCTGTGACCTAAAGTGCTGTTGCATTTTAATACAATTGTTAGCTATTTTTAGAAATATCTATTTATTTTTGTTTTTTTTGTATGGATGGATGTGTTTCTGCTGCTACTGGACACCTGAATTTCTATTACGGGGATCTAGAAAGTATCTATCTATCTAACGCTCTATCTATCTACACTGCATTTTAACCCAAAATTACATTGTGCTTTGTTTTTATAGTATGCCACCGTGAAATCAGCAGAGGAAATAAGTAGCTGCCTTTCTGGTAAGATGGCTGAAGCTGAAACAGAAGCAGGCACTACGTCGAACATTTGTAAATTTTCAAGATGGAAATTGTTTGGAGTTTGTAGGAGACAAAGATGCGGATCATAACAGTTACGTGCACATTTATGTAGCGTACTAAACTACATTTAATATGTGTAATATATAAATAATACTTTGAAATAACAGTAACAAATAATACATAATGTTTTTGAAATACTTTCCCAACACTGCAAGTTGGATATACTTTTTCAGTCATGATTTCAGAATAAAGGGTAGGTAGGAATGCATTATGAACCACCTTTTACCCTATGGTATAGATGCGAAATGCAAGACATTTTAAAAATTATGGAAAAATGCTTTATTTCTTTACATTTACAATAATAGAGGATGTGGAAAAAATGGGTGAATGGTTGAAAAAGCAGGAGCAGAACCAATATAAGAAAAATAAAATTATGTCTTTGGTTGAAGAGCCTGTTTTTTTGCATTTGGTTTGATCATATATTTTCACGTACATACATCACATTTTTAACTGAATCTTTACACAACTAGAATAATTATTCCTTGGTGAGGATCACAGTTTAAGGCGATGATGCCAGTATGCGTCAGCGATAACTGAAGCAGCACTAGTCTTGCGCTCTGAAGTAATGCCAGTGTAGAGTTACAAGCTGTTACCCAGCAACATTGGATAACATTGAAGCCATGGTCAGATCAGGTTAGGGTGGATTTTGTGCTTACCAAAGGAGCAGCTTCAGCACTTCAGGACCTTGGACAGAGGCAGGATTGTCCATTTTTTAAATATAGTCTAGTGAATCAAATCTTTTTTCCAAGAAGCTATGGATGTGAAGCTTAGAGGTGGCCAGGGTTTTAAGGGGCTGAGTGTGTTTATAAAAAACTAGAGGGATGTTCCGGAAGATCAACAATGTGTTTCGTCCCAACCATCAAACCAACAGGAGAGGCGACGCTCAAGGAAGAGGCCCCCGCTCTGAGCAGGACTACCACAGCGCCTGCACCGTCCGACTGGTGCGCAGTACGTCCATGCTGGTGGTGGGGGAGAGGACTCAGACCACGGGCTTAAAGAGGAGCAAGAGTTCCGTGAGCATCGAGTCCACACTGTACTTGTATCAGAGACAGGAGGACCGTATCTGGCTCTACTCCCAGAACCAGAACTGCCTGGAATACCTGGAGGCGCTGGTGGCCCTGAGGAGAGAGTACATAAAGAGAGTGACAGACCTCAAGGCGCGAGAAGCAAGAGAGAAGGCCAAAGAGTGCAACCAGAAAAGGTCTGCACCCAAACCTCCAAAAACACAGGAACATGTAAGTGCTCATAGTACAGGGCTGTTTCAACAAGACTGTTGCAAAACTACTTGTCCTGTAATAGTATGATGTCATTGTGCCACTATGATTTACCCATTACAAACTACTGACTAATACATGTTTTACCATATACTTTCTACCTAAGACATTTTTTCAAATTCTAGTAAGTAAATAGTCTCATTATTTTTAATGGACTAAAGAATAATTCGTATTTATTCTTGGATTTTTTGTCTGTAACTAAAAGACACTTGGGAGCAACATAGCTGTGTGGATTTTTCTCAAGTTAAGACATGAAAGCAAAGTTTGTCCACGTTCAGCGGCCGCTGGCCCACGTTCTGTAGCTAGCTTAGGTCCTGGATCATTAGCCTGTCCGTCCGGAGGAGCGGATCCCTTTCTCAAATGGGTCTCCCTCCTTGTGGGTTTCCCTAGCTCTCCCCAAGGTTTCTCACTTTTTCCCACTGGGTTTTTTAAGAGTTTTTCCTTGTCGATGCAGGAGGGTCTTGTTGGACAGTTAGTGTCCAACAGAAAGGATTGGTGATGATCAGGACACTTTAGCATTCTACAACATGTATGGACATTTTCTTCTGTGTGTGCTTTATATTCTTCATGTGTTTTAACTGTTGATTCTCTGACCTGTGTTGGTGATTTCAATGGTTTTGTTAAGTCCTCTGAGATGACTTCTGTTGTGACCTAGGGCTATACAAGAATAAATTGTATTGTATTGTGTATTGTATTTTTCTCATATTTTTTAGCTTTTTTGAATCCAGTGCGCTAGATCAGGATTTTGAGATTGTTTGAAACCTTCTGTATTTATTCTTGGAAAACGTACCTTTTCTGTATAAAAAAGAATAAATAGAGTAGTCTTCTGCTGAGTCTGCACACTTTGAATACAGACATATTATTACTCAAAACATATCCTATACGTATAGGTCAGGACAACGCCTCCAGCTCTGGTCGTCCTGACCAAACCGAGCACCAACATATGGGTCTCTGGCCGCTGCACTACAGTGACCACTGACATATAGGGACAGTAATGTACACCTTAACCTTATTTCATGATGATTTTTCTCTTCAAAAGATATTTGTTTTGATTTTCCATCACTTTTTTATCATTCTAAAACACATGTTACTTGACAGTTATGATGGCTTTTAGTCAACAAATCACATTCACAGAAAATGTCTTTAGTGGATCTGTAGTGATGATGGTTCACATAGTATTGTGTTCTTCCAGAGAGCCAGAGCCAGTCCCTCTACCCCCTCAGCCCCCTCCACCCCCTCTGCCCCGCCTGAGCCCAGTGAGGAGGACACACTGCAGTTCTTGGATGCCGTAATTGCAAGCTGTGACGATGAGCCTCTTCGCAAACCCTACAAGGACGACGGACATGCGGATGTGGACTTTATAGGTACACTAATGAACATGTGGTTCAGACTATCAGATTGTTCAGAATAAATGAAAGGGTTGGGTTTGATCTTATTTCAGTCATGATGTGTCAAACACCAATCTCGCCATTGTCTCCATTAAAAACAGATGTGCTTTTTGACAGTGGCCTCCAGCTCAGCAGAACATGACCTTCACTCAAACTGGTCGCTGCATGTGCCCCGCGGCTCAGCCGACAGTAAGACTGAAGCAGATCAAGTCTGTGCCAACAACAAAAGTGTTTCCAAAAAAAAAAGTGGGACTGGCTCCACCAGCAGCAGACTGTGGCTGCAGAGGAATCCCATCCACCTGCCCAAAGTGGTGGAGAGCGCCTTCCAGACCATGAGGCTCAGGCCCAGGTCCAAGAAGAACTGAAGAACCATCCCCAGCTGCCACCAAGTCCAAGGTACTTCATTCATGCACTGGACTCTATTACAAGCATGAATTAATTACCTTAAGATTTTTTTACTTCAAGATTTAAGAAGCATTCACTGTTCTTACCTGTAAATGCTCCATAAATCATCAATGTAACCAAATATCTGTCTATCTCAACTTATTCTCAAGAGGAATTCTTTAATTGAAAAGAAATGCACGACAACTTGGAATGTTCTTCCACTTAGTCCCCGAAACTGCAGTGACATCTGTGTTGAAAGCATTTTATACTTCAAGTGCCTTGCTCTCAATTGAAAGGGTAGAGGTTATTACAGAACTTTTATATCATTTTGTGACAGGTTACAAATACTGTATAATTCAATCATTCAACAATAGCTTTTCATCAACAACTGGTCAAAAAGGAATTATCTTGCTGAAAGACTTCACTTACTGTTTGAGTTGAGATTTATTTAATAAAGCTAGTCTGAAGGCTAAATAGTTTGAATATTTTTGAACCATAATTCCAGTGAAAGACTTCTACTTGAGGAGATTGGATATAAAAGTACAATTATAATAGTAGATTATTCAAAAGATCCAAATTTCATGCAAATACATTGATGTGTGGTGAGGATAACACAATGGAGTTATGGCCAGACATAGAGACATTTAAATGCTCAGCGCAAAACATCAAACCGTAAACGTCCTGACTCTTGAATGTGCGTGTGTGTGTATATACACACACACAGTACTTGCTGGACTCTTAGGCACATCTGTATGAGCATTGTGAGCAACATTTTTAAAGAAAGCCTTTTGTCCACATATGGGCAGTCTTTTGACAATAAATCCAGGCACTCATGACAAAAAAAAAATGCTAGTGTTTTCTTCACTGCTGATCCTGATGAGCAACTGACAAATATTGACCCACTGAAAAGATCATCTCTCTTGGACTTAATAAATATATTAGCTGCATCGCTATAAGCCATGAGAAAAAAGTATCAGCAAATTGTCTGGCAATACCGTAAATGTGATCTGATCCTTCCCAAAATCACTATTGCCTTATTTGTAAAGAGGATAGTCAGACACTCCAGGAATCTGACTGAGCTGCAGTTGTTTTGTAAAGAGGAATGGTCAAAAATGTATCCTGATCGATGTGCCAGACTGATCTGCAACTACAGGAAGTTTCTGGTTGAAGTTATTGTGGCCAAAGGTGGAAACCAGCTGTTAATAATAAAAATAATACTGTATATTGGTTTTATATAGCGCTTTTTCGGACACTCAAAGACGCTTTAAATGTTTTTATTCATTCACTCCATACACGGTGGTGATAAACGACTACTTTAGCCACAGCTGCCCTGGGGCACACTGACTGAAGAAAACTCCTGTTAGATGCAAGAGTTCAGTCACTTATTCCCCTCTTTCTGTCACGGTTTGTTGCATATTTTTAATGATGTTTTGTTTTTTAACATAATTAAAAATATGAAAACATATAGATGTCTGTCTGGGTGTTTTTAGTTAAAGCAGATACTTTTTTTTCATCTGTGTGATTTTGAGAAAGATCAGATGACATTTATCCTTCATTAAATCAAACTTCAAACTTCAAATGTGAGGTATTCCAAATGTTTTAGATACTTTTCCATGCTACTGACTAGGAGTTTTAGTCCTAACAAGCTTGTTATTATTTTCTAAACGAATCGCTAAGAGACAGTGTACAAAAAAAAAGTTTATTACAATGTTGTCCACAATAGAACAAATGTTTACTTCTTCTCTGTTTTGACCTTGGGACTGAAAAAGGACGACATGGACTTCATGCCGCTTTTGTCCACTTTGGCCAGAGTTTTCTGAGCGGCAGTCATCTTCTTGGGAGGCTGGAATTAAAAGAGTAAAATAAGTAGCCTTGTAAGAAAATGTGTCTTCTTTGACTCAAACAACTTAGACAAAGCAGCTTATTCACAAGAAGACATTGCTTTGCTGACGAGACCCAAGGTTATTCCACTCATCATCACTCAATTATGAGAACGATAAACAAAGACTCCTGATTGTCTGTATCCTTTGAGATAAAAATGTAATGTACATCTTGATTATAGTTCGAGATTTTCAGGGAGATTCGAGTCAATAACACTCACTTTTCGGGCAAAGTCTGCACTGTTGAATTTGGTGTAGTCCTCTCCAGCCTCCACGGGTTTGTCAGACAGTTTCCGCTTCTGTCGAACAGGGAAGCAAGAAAGACTTTGCACATTTTTCAAGGGAATAAAGTGTACATTCAAGGCCAAAGTAAAAAGACGATGCTTTTAAAAAATGTAGACATGCAAAAATGTGTTACTCTGCAACGTGAGGACGACAGAAAAGTGCCTTGGGACTCCAGGCGCAAAATAAACCCAGTACCATACCTTTAGCGGTGGCTCCGACTCTGCTGGGCTTGTGAGTTCGGGTAGACTGAAAAATATTTGATGATTAATTGAAAAATATTTTATCATGAAGATTCCTTTTCAGCTTACTTTAAATGTATTCGCAAAGCATTGCTCAAGTCTTCACTGAGGTACCCTGAAATAAGGCCATGAGCATATCGCAAGTAGTCCTCTGCCAGTGAAGAAGTAGAAAACACTTGAGGTTAGTGCTTGATAAATGGAGGTCATTAAAGCACTCCATTACTGCCATCTACTGGTGAATGGCACAACTACAGTTCTTTGATGTCTTTGACCATACCTTCATGACAGTCGGACTCAGTCTTCACTTTTATATATGTGGCAGATTTAACCCCTTCTCCGACTGAAATGTTCTTCTTCTTGAGCGCAACAACTGTCCTGTCAACCTAAAATAAAATCACATTTCCGTTCCAACAATTAATTAATGTACTGAAAAGAGGTCAAGAAAAGCAATAAATATACTGTACCTTTTTCTTTAACCAGTCTAGAGTCCGCTCTTGACTGTAACGGTAAAATTTCAGACTTCCCACTTCTAAAAGGAACATTCGTACAAAGATTTGCCAATGCTGTAAAACAATAATACGATGTAATTTATATGTATTCGCTAATTACCTTTTTCCTCTGCGATATTGTGAAGAGAATAGGAGCAGCTCAGCAGTCTGGTGCAAGCTGGGAAATTCTCATCCACTAAAAGCTGATCCATGGGTTGAAACTTTTCCTGTGAATTGTTGTTTCATGATTATGTTTTGATATAAAAAAAAAAAAAATCAGATTCCAATCATATGCCTTACATCTTTGCCTGCGTGAAGTAAATACGGAAGCAGAAGATAGAGGGGGTCGAGTGGTGTGATGAAGAGGAGCCTTCCATCTATAATGCACAAAATTAAACATATTTTGTGATTTTTATTTGTTGTATTTCAAAGGTCATGGACAAACCTTGTTGCACGGTTTGATCAATAAACCAGCTGTGGTAGTCTTCTTCAAAAGCTTTCACTTCATACAACTCTGTATCACCACTACCCAGCAGATAAAGAGAGGCGGTGTCTGCAAACACAAAGAAGAGTGATACCTTTCATCAGGCTTCATATCCAAAAAGGTTGTTTAGTATTTACTCTTGCATTCACATGGTGGGATTGGTGATATGCGTGGAAGGTTCACAATATGGCATTAAACTTGTAGTTACTTTGTAAATTATAAGAATGTTATACTTTTATTGTTCCCGTAAGGACATTTGTAAACCCACAATGCTGTAATGCCACTAGGACCTTTCTCAGAAGCTCTCTCATCTTCTGATGTTAATGCTCAGCTTGGTCTATTATACTATTTTTGGTATTATGTTTTTACAATCCAGCGCACCTGGAGGAAACATACACAGACACAGGGAGAACATGCAAACTACACTCAGAAAGGGCCTGTTTGACCAGGATTCAAACCTAGAGTGCTAAACATGTTAAAATTTCAATATGGATTGAATTTTTCCCCCTAAGTCCCTTGTGAGCAGGGTCACCATTTCAGATTAACACTTATTATTCACAAGACGTAATATTTAGCATTATTCACAAGAAATATAAATGTATTCTGCATAGACATACATGCATTACATTTCTAGGGCAACAGGCATGAAGACCCTCCTCCAGGAAGTGACAAGTTTTGTGTTTGTGAAGATTGTAGCCAGCTTCAAGTTGGTTTCAAGTGAGATTTTAAACATAGAAAGTTGTTTGAAAGTTACTCAATGTGGTGTTTAAGAAAATATCACATAGTCTTTGTAATGCAGCAACAACATCCCCAGTGTTTTGAGGAGTCATTTTACGATCACTACTGACATTGTGGAAGATTTAAGGATATCATTCCCAAAGACGTGCAAAAACAGGTTGTGTCTTACTATCCACAAAAACACTATTAATTACAAAGCACTCTTTAAACCTAATTTTACAATACTTCTTTCAACGTTTTTTTTTCTCTTGAACATTAGAGATTACGGATGAAAACATTACAACACTCCAATTGAAATATCTTCTGGAGCTGGACGGAGTTGGTTAATTTTACAATGTCGCAAAGCCGAAGTAGTGTTCCAACCTGTACTTGGGTTCTTTAGTTTCACAAAAGACGGATCTGCAACATCACGCTTCTTTGAGTTGACCACAGAGTCTATAAAAAAGGCAAAAACATATTACTGTTTTTTTTTATTATTAGACAACTGTATAACTAGTGTACAATAAATCATATCTTGCAGTGACAGTAAAATCATGGTAGTACAATACATTGCGCATGCACAAATGTTATGTTATGCAGCATCAGATATAGTTAACCGCTAGCTAACATGTTATTTCTGTCCCTACCTGCTGCTATGACAACCCAGCTGTCACTTGGAGCACAGGGCATCCGCTTGTTTGTTGTTGCCATATTGTGCATTTACTGTGACAAGCGTGTTAGATTATTGCCAGTGTAATACATCCATGAATTGCTGGTGAATAGTTTTCAGGGATCAAAACAAAGTGCTAGCATCCGCGTGTGACTGGCTACATGCATACATCACGTGGTCTCAGAAAGGCGCGCGATTGCTTTTACTTCCTGTTTGATCTCTCAAGCGCCAAAGGGTGATTTTTGAGCTACATTTTGTGTTGTGCGACTAATAACTCGGGTAAGTAGTGGTAAGAAATGCCTATTTTTTAATGAAAGCAGTGCAGTAGCCGCAAACCGTTATTATTTCCACAAAGAGACTGCTGTTGATGCCAAGATCTGCAGTGCATGGAACTGTCCACTAGAGGTCGTATCAACTGCATGGAAGGCATGAAAGTGTATACAATCATGTTTTATGTAATTACTGTTGCTATCTTGTGCTATAGAATATATATACTCCCCTTATTTAAGCTCAGAGGATATATTTTATTTCGTTCAGAACTGACAAAAGAATCGTTACTAGTCCTAGTCAACTCTGGTAAAAGTATTAAATTCTTTCCCTTAATTGACTTTGAAAATACAAGCTTTTGTGGGTTATTAATTTGTATTAACTAACTAAACAAAACATATTAATTTAATAATTGGTGGAAATTTTAATTACGCTGTGACTTTACACTGTTGTAGAAATGTATTTAACTTTTTGAATTTGACGATAATCAAAACATGTGTAGACCATAGACTGTAATGTAGACGCACGGCTAACAACTTCAAACCCGTTTCACGTTGTGTGCAAAGTTACTAACCCATTTAAAAAAAATCTGAGTATAAAGTACAGATATTCAGGTTTAAAAGTAAGAAGTAAAAATGTGTTGTAAGAAAGTATTCAGTAAACTAAAGTACTGGTACAAGTTTAAATCTGTAAAAATACTTAGTCTCTTCCCCTTTTGTAACCAGTTGCCGGGTTTTGTAAACAGTTGTCAAAAAAGTGCCGTTAATATACTCATTATGACTTTTGATTATTTAAATTTTCTCCATTCTGACTGAGGGATGTATAGGTTTCTGCTGGATTCTCCATCAATTGCTTGATACTTGATTGTTTAGTCGCCCTGTTATTAATTACATTTCAGGGGATTTCCCTTAAGCATGTCCTGGGTTTTTCCCGGGAGCTTCTCCCAATGAGACACCTCCCAGGCTACTTGAAGAAGGAGCAGCAACTCTACCCTGAGCTCGTCACATGTGACTGAGTTTTATTATGTTTTACATCTGCATACGCAAATTACATTCAATGGAGGTCGCTAAATATTCCACAATCATCACAGATCAGGGTGTTGAAAATAACGTGCTGACTAGATTGTGTGAATTGTAATGAATATGAATTGCTTTGTTTTATTATATTCATCTACAACAACAATTACTACTTCTATGGTCTATTTTTTTATGATTATCATTACCATGTTGGCATTGAAATTATAATTCAATAACAATCAGAATCAGAAATGAAGCTTTTTTTCCATTGAACATTTTGGTCGTGACAACCCCCCTAATTTTGGAATTTACATCATTGGTCTTTTCAAAAGGCTAATCACAAAGGCTATATGCTAAAACCTCGATTCCCCCCTCGCTTTAATGACATTGATTTATGTAGTTGAAGTCCTCGGCAAAGTGAGAGTGGGTGAGATGTCTATGAATGACTTGGTTTATGGCTCTTGGGAGTATCATGACACAACAGTACATGTGCAGCTAAACAGAATATTCTATGAAAGAGCTCTTTCTTTTTTTTACACTGCCTGGGGGGATGTCTGTGTTTCTGACTGACAGAGAGAACAACAGGCGTCTTTCTGAGACTTTGGACCATAGACAACTCTCAGAGAGCTGCTCCTCTGTCACCAGACCAGAACAAAGTCTAAATTTAGGCTATAAAATGTAACACCTTGCATCATTGTGTTCATTTATTTCTTTGTTGTTTTAAGACATTCACAATACATCTTCAAAGAGAATGTCTTTGTACTGTTTGACTTCATTCCCCTCAGGTCTGCATCCTCTATGCAAAAGTGGAATTACACCACCAAGCATTTTGGAGATGAAGATATGAAATACATAATTAAGAACCAATTTTTAATGACACTGACATTGTGAAGTGATAAAGATAACGCAGCAGGCAACACAACCTGCTGCCTACATTTGGAAATTCATGAATTACTATGATACCAATTGTTTTTGATGATCCTGTTTGTGCTAGAAGTATTCTGAGATCTCCTTTACACTTCCACAGCTGTTAAAGCCGCCATCTTGAACTTGCTTCTTATGGAAACTCAAATCTCATCATCATCAGGTCGAGGAGGTAATGTACACACTGACAAGCTTGCAATATGCACACACACACACACACACACACACACACACACACACACACACTCGCACACAAAGGATCAGGCTGCGTAAAAACAGATGTGCAGAGAATTCCCCTTGGCAGCAGAAGCCTTTGAGTCATCATCTGGGATTCCCTTCCTCTCTCTTCCAAATATGGGTGGGATTGAACGGCATACAGTGGAACCCCTCCGTGTGATGTCACAGCTCGGAGCCTCACGCTGCCTGGAAGTGCAGAGGCAGGAATGTCGGGAACGTAAATGTTATCCACTCAAGCGTGTTTGTTAGTGCCTTTTTCCCTCACACACTGACTTAAACATGAAGCACATTTTGCACCTCACCAGGGAGATATTTGGTCTTCCCGTAAGGTCTGGTTCCCCCTCCTCTTTTGATGGTGACTCCTCATTCCCATCATCCTTCTGCTGCTCTGGTATTTCCTCTTTCCTTCGATGCTGAAAATGGTGATGGCCGTAATAATCAGAGTTTACATTAACTCACGCCCTATCTGCTATCCGTGTCAGGCTGTACACTTTATTTTTAGACATAACTTAAAGCAGGAATCGTTATAAACATGTAATAGAGTAGCTCTTAGCTCTAAAAAAAAGTTTGGGTCTGTCACTAGTTTTCCCATGCATGTGTATTTTTCCTCTGTCACATCTCTAGATCCGGTTTTTCAGTTGAAAAAAAGAGAACCAGCCCTCACTCTGCCAATGAGTTCTTACAAAAGATACAACGTTCTCTATTAAAATGAGGACAGCATACTCTGTGTCTGATTTGTCCACAAAATGTTACTTAAACAAGACTGGGACAAACAAACTGTATTTATGAAAGAAAACAAAACGTTTGGTACTCCAACTATAGTAATTTTCCTGATATGCTAGCACAACCGTGATTAATCTTTTCTTTTACAACTCCATGCTGGTATATTACAAGCTTGTTTGGCTGGTATAGAGTGCCTTGATGAAACTATATATAGCTAACAAAACGAAAATCTATATAGCTATCTTTTATAATGTCCTGTATAAGCACAAAAAAACCATAAAATAAACAATAAACTGAAGGACCACAACAAAGTTCCAGCTGGAGGAAGTGTGTGTAGATAGGGAGGTCTGGATGTCTCTGCCTAGACTGCTGCCCGTGCAACCCAGCAACGGATGAAGTGGAAGAAAATTATGGATGGAAACAGGATGAAGTAACAGACAGATCGAAAACTGAAATTTCCATCATCTGGAAATGGCAGGACGGAAAATCTTCAAAAACTGCTGTTCACAAATGCCTCAAAAGAGGGTTCCTCGAAGTATTATGTTGTACGGACACTTATACAGGCCTCACTGGTTTTTATGAAGTCTAGAATTATTCTCTTTTATTCTTTACACTCATGTGTGAGACCAGTATAGGCCAGGAAACAAGAAGTGTCCCCCAAGTAGAAAGTCTGCTGCTTTGGCACCTAAAGAGTTAATAGTCTAGTGTTTTGGGTTTTCTTTCCTTTTTTAGCTGTGCCATGAACAATGTCATTGCCAGGGTTTGTTTGGTTGTCTGCAAGTTAGCAGCATTACTCAGACCGTTGATTAGATATTTACTTTCAGGAAAGTTCTGAAATGGGAGAAATTATTGTTTCGTTGCTGAATCTAGGATTTTTTCTTTTACCAATTTTTTTGTATTTGTTTGCCTGTATGAGGATTAGTTCAAGTTGAATTTTATTATGATCACATACATATTGTGTGAAATTCTTATCTAATCTCTTGCAAATAATATTAGTGTTCACAGTAAAGTATCAATGAAAGTATCTGAACTTTAAAAGTTTATAACGCAAAAACTGAAAAATTCCAATCATAGATTGGAAAAAATATTTCAAACACAGACATATTGAAGAGATAGTGTGGATAATATCAAAAGGAAAGATTGTCAAATACATTTTTGGCGACATTTTAAACAACCCTATCAGCTTCTGTGATTCAGTGACATAGAAAATAAAATGTCCTCAGTCTGAAAAAAAGATTAACTTGGCTAACACAAAATAAGTAAATAACTTTATTTAAAAAGGAATTATTAAATTAAAGCCGCAAACGGCCCTCGCCGCACCGCGCGACACGCCGCACCGCCGCACCGCGGTGACTCGGAGTTGAACAACCGAGTCAAGTTTTGTGCAAATCAGACTTAGTAAATGCCATTCTCACCCATGTAACACTTGACTCAGTCTGTAGGGGGCGCTATTGCTGCAATGTAATGTTTTACACTTTCAGTTTACCCAAACCCAAAAGTTGAACGACCGATTCAAATTTGGTGCAAATCGGACTTGGTTTGTGCAAAAGGGAGCTATGTTTCTATCATCAAAAATGGGGAAAAAAGGTCAAATTGTTCCGCTCCGCTGCTCAAACAACGTTTCACTGATCAAAATTCCCTGAAGTCATTTTGATGGTACATGTGTTGAGATGATGTTGAGCGATATTCGGTCAAATCTGTGAAACGGCCGAGGCTGGTTTGATGTTTGTGCGAGGTGTACATTTCCCATAGACACAGCATGGGGAGGGTTTGTCATGTCACGGCAACAGGGTAAAAAATAAGCCTTTGGCCCTGTTGACTTTTTTAAATCAAGAGGGCAAAACAGATGTATGTGCAAAATTTCAAACATTTTG